TTTCGCAACATCTTTTCTTAGTATGAAAGCCACCCCATTTTTGCTTGTCTTTTCATTCCCTGAGAAGAACACTGTGTGGTTGTCTGATTCAAAGTGCCCCTTTTCTGTCCATTTTAATGTACTCACCCCCAGTACTGCTATGTTCATGTGTTGCATTTCCATTTTCACTATGTCTAGCTTCCCTTGGCTCAGGCTTCTCACATTCCATGTCCCTATTTTATGTGTGGTGCTTCTTCTGATGGGGCTTGTCTTTCTGAGAGTATTTACTGTTTCATCATTTTTGACTGCCCTTAGCTGCTCTTGCAACTGTGTTTTCCTTTAGTTTCTATCTCTCTCTCTGTTAGTGCTCTTGTCCTTCCTGTGTGACAGTTTTGATGTCTCCTATAGGGTTCTCTAGGTGGGGGGGTTACACAAGGAGGACCACCTACACCTCCCTGTGCTCACTGCTAACAAATATTAGCTATGATGTCACTGCTGTTCTTCACTTTAGTGACACCCACTACTACTGCTGCTGCCCAGTAGTTGTTTTCCTATGTCATTGTCCTCCCTCCCCTTATTGTTGAATTGATTGTTTCCCTACCCTTCTCCTCCCTCCTTTTCCCTTCCCCCCTCATGTACTTCTTTATTTTAGTCTCTCATTTGTCTTCTGGCCAACTGAAATGCAGCCTCCCAAATACTGGAATTTTAACATCAGTCTGGGGCAGGGAATGATTGGCTTATTGACACATGGATGAGCTTTGCCTACTCCTGGACTCATGCACTCCTCCCTGAACTCTCCTCCTCCCATGTGTCTGGGACGGGTAGTTCAGTCAAAAGCATTGGCCTGAATCCTATTGTTAGTCCCAGCTAGACAAAACCCATCAAATGAATGGAATTGACCTGTGTGTTGACTCACCATGTTGACAACTCTACTTTAGTTGGGCCTAAGCAATAGATTTCATATCTTTGGAGAGTTCTGACTTGTCAGATTGTCCAAGCTGACAAATTTTGGTTAACATTAAGTACTATTAGTTTAAAACAAGCCAACCTCAGAGTTTTTGAATTGGGCTTATGTTTCTGAATTGGGCTTATTTAAACAAATGATGGTTTCATTTTCAACAGCATGGCAAGCCATGGTTAATGAAAAGTAGAAGCTATCTTCCAGCAATGTGGAAAGAGAAGAGAAGACCACATGAGACTGAAAGGAGAAAGGCTGGCTTTCTCACATGTTACTAAAACATAAATGAGCATGATGTTTTAGCATAGACAATGTGTAATTCTCTCCCAGCATTTGACTATTGGCACCTAGAAGTAATTAACGGTCTCCTAGGGAGAAGGAAGAAAGAGGTAGTATTTGATTTAAACAAAACATTGTAGAAATAATGCAATTTGACACCATTTTAAGTGCTGTAGCATCATCCTATGGAATTCTGAGATTTCCAGTTTTACAAGGTCTTTAGCCTTTTCTGACAATGTGTGCTAGTGCCTCACAAAATTACAAATCCCAGGATTCTGTAGGATGGAGCCATGGCAATTAGAGTGATATCAAACTGTATTAGTTCTGCAGTGCAGATGCAGCCTGAGAAAACAGTACGCTGCAGTATACACATACAACCCACACACTGAAAAAGCCATCAGTTCAGAGTAACATGTTTTTAAAATTCAAAACAATTTGAAAAGCCATCTAGATAGAAATGAACTTATGATTTATTGTTGTTATTTTGCCATGAGGTTCCTTATACCCGGTGGCTAAAGAAAAGTTTGTACATAAAATATCTGCTGACAATGAATGAGAAAGGATTTTCAATTCAATAAAATGATCAGTCTGGTCTTTGCCATCCTATGAGTAAGTGGGCCTTCAAAAGTTATTCAGTAAGTGTAGGTTAAGACTTACGTCTGTCTATAGGTTTTAGAAGTCACAAAATATTTATGCTGCAGAATACATTTGCTTCTTGTTGCCTGGGGGGCTTTTTCAATAATCCACATCTTACTAGCCCCTTGTGAAAGGCATTAAAGTTACCTTCCCCCCCAAAAAAAGCCCAACAACCCAAGATGCTCATTCAAGTAAGCAAATACACAATCTTTAACAAAATAAAATGAATCTGGGCAAGTAAGGAACCCAGGAATTCTAAATGCTAGTATGAATCATGCTATTGGAGACTAGTAAACATTGCCAGACAGACATAATCTTGTGATCATTCCCATGTTTGTTATCTCATACCCTGAAGCAGCCCATTTATTGAGTCTATCCAGAAAAATGAGAATACATACATTCTCTCTCTCTCTCTTTCTCTTTCTCTCTCTCTCTCACACACACACACACAGAGTGTCCACTTGGGTCTCTTTTAAAATCATTTAGCATGGTTTTGAAAATGAGGGTCAAATGAGATATTAAGTAGGATACACATTCCTGACGATAAACTTGTTTTCCATCCCACAATGGGGTACATTTCCAAATTAAATCCACATTTCCTTTACAAAGACCAATATCATACTACACTGTTATAGTGCTCTTATTCCAATTTAACTGCTATGGCTACCTCCTTTGGAATTCCGGGGTTTGTAGTTTAGTGAGCTAGCATAGTCCAGTAGTTTGAGCATTGGACTATGACTCTAGAGACCAGGGTTCAAATCCCGGCTTGGCAATGTCAATCCACTGGGTGGCCTTGGGCAATTCACACTTTCTCAACCCGAGGGAAAGCAATAGCAACCCCCTTCTAAAGAAACATGTCTAGAAAACTCTGTGATTAGCTCACCTTAGGATTTCCATAACTTGAAAGCATACAGCAAGAAAACTGTTGACCACTCAACCTTGCCAATTCGTACAATTTGACTGATGAATTAATCCAGGGCTTCCAAACGATTTATTTAGTGACTAAATTTATGCATGAATGAAGAGATATCAAGCTAATATGCAGATAGGGAAGTACAGCATAGAATGATCTTAACCCAAAGGGCCTGCCTCATCCTAAATCAGATATAGTAAAGTTAAGAGCTGGAATCCTGTTAGATTTTTACATCACTGTAAACTGGCCAGTGTGGTATATTATTTTAAGAGTTGGGCTATGACTTTGGAGACAGAGTTTCAATCCTCACTTGACCCTGGAAACCACTGGGTGACCTTGGGCATGTCACATTCAGCCTCAGGGGAAGGCAAAGGAAATTGCCCTCTGAACAAATTTTGCCAAGAAATCCCCATGATGAGTTCACTTAAGGGTCACCATAACTCAGGAGATATTTGAAGGCACACAACACATGTACACAATGTGACCTATGATCATATAAAGGTGAATCCCAATGTTGCACAATGTTGGTATAATAATAATAATAATAATAATAATAATAATAATAATAATAATAATAATAATAAATTTTTATTTCTAGCCCGCCCCTCTGCACTGCAATCGGGGCGGGTTACAACATTTTAAAACATACAAAGTTAAAACAAGCCTTATCCCCATAACCCCCCTCCCACCCCCTAAAACAAGATTCAATTTTAAGATTAAAACATAATACAGTCTAAAACCAAACAAACAATACATTACAATAAAAAAATAAAATAAAAAAAAATGAATCGAGCTACGGACAAGGGACAGTTGAAACCATATCCCCTCAGGTTGGAAGATTATTCCAGGAAGGCCTGCCAGAAGAGGTCCATCTTTATTGCTTTTTTAAAGGCAGCAAGAGTTGTAATAAGACGGACCTCATCCGGCAGGCCGTTCCACAGCCTGGGAGTGGTTGCAGAGAAGGCCCTCTGGGAGGTCTGAGACAGCCTAGTTTTTATTGGCTGTAACAGGTTCCTCCCAGAGGACTGAAGGGCACGGGGGGGGATCATATGGGGAGAGGCGGTCCCACAGATAAGATGGACCCAAGTCATGTAGGACTTTAAAGGTTAACACCAACACCTTGTACTGTGCCCGGAAACTAATTGGCAGCTAGTGGAGGGATTTCAGCACCGGTGTTATGTGCTCCCTCCTAGATATTCCTGTGATCAGCCTGGCTGCCATATACTGTACCAGTTGACGTTTCCGGGTTCAGCACAAGGGTAGGCCCATGTAGAGTGCACTGCAGTAATCCAGATGTGAGTTTACCAGAGTGTGTACCACAGTTTCCAAGTCCCTCATATCCAGATAAGGGTGCAGTTGACGTATCAGCCGAAGCTGATAACAGGCACTCCTGACCGTCACATTCACCTGACTAGTCATGTGAAGCGACGAGTCAAGGAGTACCCCCAAACTGCGAACACAGTCCTTGGAGGCCAGTGTGACTCCATCCAGGACTGGAGACTGTATTCCCAGATCTGGTTTCGGGCCTGTGACTGCAAGTACCTCCGTTTTGTCTGGATTCAACTTCAATCTGTTTTTCCTCATCCAATCCATTACCGCTCTTAGACAGTCATTAAAAGGAGAGACGCCATCTGAAGTCTGAGTCGATGATCTGGTCATAGAGAGATATATCTGGGTGTCATCCGCATACTGGAGACACTTACTTCCAACACAAAGACACTTACTACCTTTCATTCCTTGAGACAGTCCTTCCCCTCTACCAAAAACAAAATGGTTCAATATGTGTAAGGCTTCTGTCTCAAAAAGGCATGTATACACATGGCTCCAGAATGTTAAGCCTAAGAAAATTAGAAAACAAACTCTCCTAAGCTATTGCTTAGAAATACAAATCCACAAGCAGCTCCCAAACAAATAAGAAAACATCCTCTCCTTCCTAAGCTAAGAACAAACAAACAAACAAACAAACACACGTACACGTAAATTTTCTCAGACTCTTTCTAATCTCTATCTAGCCCTGAGCAGCCCCTAAGGTAAGTAGCAGGGGAAAAGAAGAAAACAGGGAAATGTAACTTCAATGGTATCACGCACAAATCTAACCCACAAACACTATGACTAGAAGTTTAATAAAATAAAAATGAAACTCTTGCCATAGATTGGAAACTAAAGCTGTCACTCAAAATCCAATCCCTCCCCATTATGCCATATTATTAGATCATGGGACTGTATTTTGCTGGGCTCCCTCATCCCACAAAGAGCACCACCTGTGCTGGAGCTCCTTTATCTTGATGTGATCAAATCTCAACCCATTCTGAATTGGATTGAATGGGGCAAACTCAATCCAGGATTCAGGCTTTGGCTGAATCAGGCTCACAGCCATTGTATTCTTGTTGGTAATTCCAAAGTCTGGCAGTCTGTAGCTCCAGTCAGGACAGAGGGGCAGGATAAAAAGAGAGACTAGGGCTGTATCCACATTCTAGAAATGATCCAGATTGACACCACTTCAACTGCTAGGGCTCAATGCTATGCAATCCTGGGAATTGTACTTCTGTGAGACTTTTATTCAAGGGTCAGCAACCTACAGCCCATGGGCCGCACCCAGCCCACCGAGGCCTGCTGCCGCCACCACCTTTCACGGATGCGAGGGTCCTCTGGGGTGCCATTTTGTGTTCCAAAATGGGGCCCGAAGTCTCGTACGACCTTTCCTGTCCTGCCCTGCGACAGGAAAGGTCACGTGAGACTCCGGGCACCATTTTGGAACACAAAATGATGCCCTGGAGGATCCCCGTGGCCGCACTGGGCCTCTCCAAGGCCCTGCGCGGTCGAGGGAGCCCTCCTGGGAGTGCACCACGGCAGTGGTAGTGCGCGTGCGCATGCATGTGCGCGCACCATCGCAGCCGGGGGGCATCGGGGGACAGGGGGACTGGCCCCACCCCCAAAAAGGTTGCCAACTCCTGCTTTTAACCTTCTCTGTCAGAGAGCTCTGGTGCCACAACAAACTACAAACCCCAGGATTCAGTGGGATGGAGCTATGGGAGTTAAAGTGGTGTAAATCTAGATTATTTCTACATTGTGAATGCAGCCTAGGCTATATCATTGGACAGGGAAGAAGGGAAGGCAGCAGGAAGTGGAATGGGAGAAGAAAATGGGTTGAGAGAAACATGAGAAAGAAAGGGAGAAAATAGCTTCAGACCAAGAACACAGAACTCTAGTGATGTAGGGCCTTTACAGACTGCCAGAAATAATCCATCTTCAGTCCACTTTAACTGTCCTGACTCAGTGCTAGGTAATCATGGGAACTGTAGTTTATTGTGGCACCAGAGCTCTCTGACAGAGAAGGCTCAATGCCTCAGAAAAAACTAAAGTTCCCATGATTTCCCTAGCACTGAGCTAAGACAGTTAAAGTGATCTCAAACTGGATTATTTCTGGCAGTCTGTATAGGCCCATACTTAGGCAGCAGTGGCATTCTAGATAAGGTGCCATACCCTCCAACTGTCCCATTTTTGGCAGGGACAGTCCTCATTAAGCCTCTATTCACCCCCTTTTTCAGCTGCTCTAATTTTTCTGAGGTTCTCTTCCCACTTTCCCACTTTCTTTTCAGCTTACTTCAACTGCTGAAACTAAGCTCAAGGTGCAAAGTAGTTTCCTTTCAGTTAACTCAGCTGTGTGAGTGGAGAGGTGTAGCCGGAATCTTGTCCTTCCCAGGAGGCTCAGGCAAAAGGAAACTGCTACATCCAACCTCTTCTAACTTGTGTGTTCTTTCTCATTAATAACTTTTGCCATGTTGACCAGACTCTAATGTTGCATGGTTACATGTGTTCCAGTTTTCACTTGAGAATGAATCAGAATAGAACAGACTAGAAAGCTGGGCCAAAGCTAACAGAATGAAATTCAAAATAGAGAAATGTAAGGGCGGAAAAAACTGCACTTAGGGCGGAAAAACAAAAAGCACAGATATACGATGGGGGACACCTGGCTGAATGAGACTATGTGTGAAAGGAATCTAGGAGTCCAGGTAGACCACAAGTTGAACATGAGTCAACAGTGTGATCCAGCAGCTAAAAAGGCCAATGCAATTTTAGGCTGCATCAATAGAAGTATAGTGTCTAGATGAAGGGTCGTTCAAAATGGTGCCCACCGCCATGCGCTTGCGCACGCATGCGCACAGCAGCAGGCAGCGGCTGCGTAGGAATGATGGGGGCCTTGCCAAGGCCCCGCGGTGTCTGAGTCAGATGCGGGGTGGCCTTGCCAAGGCCTCACAGTGGCTGCACAGGCATGAGGGGGCCTTGCCAAAGCCCCACGGAGGCTGCACAGGTGCAAGGCTGAGTCAGGCGTGGTTGAGCCTTGGGAAGGTTCCCCCCCCCCCCGTGCCTGCAGAGTCACGGTGGGGCCTTGCCAAGGCCCTACGGCAGCTGCACAGGTGCAAGAGGGCCTTGGTAAGACCCCACGGCAGCTGCGTAGGAGCTGTGGGGCCTTCCAAAATGGCATCCCCCACGCGAGCATGAATGTGCACAACGGCGGGGCATCATGCGCATGCGTACGCGGAGGGGGCAAGCATGTGCATGTGCACCCACCTGGCCTCCGCGCCATTACCCCCTCCCCCGGCCCCCCAGCAACAAAGGTTGCCGACCTCTGGTCTAGATCAAGAGAAGTAATAGTGCCACTCTATTCTGCTTTGGTCAGGCACAGCCAGACAGGTCGCTGACTTTCAAACAGTGCAAGAGATCACACAGCCATCAAGTAATCTTCATGGTTGAACATGATTTTGAACCATGATATCTGCAGTCTGTCCACTGACCCACAATGGGCTTAAAGCACACACAAACTTCTTTGTTTCCACTTTTGAACTCCACATATTGCA